TATATGTATATATATATATGTCCCCCCCCCCCACAGTACCTCCGCAGACCCCCTGTTGAAGACCTCTGATTTAGGGTATTTATACACTTTGTGGCTTTTTCAATTAAGTAATCCTTGTCTGTCTCAAGTGCCCCCAAAAACTAACCTGAGACGGTGTCTTTCTTTTATAATGGAATATAATGAGAGCACAGAGTAGCCTATGGAACGGGTAACCGCTCTATCGTTGACAAACCATCCCACAGCAGCATGCTAAACAACCCTGGTTAGCCTTGAAGACCGCTCTTTTTTTATTTATTCATCTACAAAGATGAAGAGTCGTCCATTCATTGGAAGATTCGTGGTTCGATTACCGTGTCCTGCAATCCGAATGTCAGTGTGCTCTTGGAAGCTGTGGCACCTTGTATGCCAGCCTCTGCCATCAGTGTGTGAATGTGTGCATGAATAGGTGAATGGTAAAATGTAATGTGATGTGGTGTAAGTGGTCGGAAGACTAGAAAGACGCCCTATGACTGCACGTCTTGTTACCGTTTGTGTTGCACCATAGTTTGCTGAACAAGCCACAACGGGATCACTGTCAGTTTGCAGGCCAGTTGGCTAATTAGCCAACTTGACCCTAAATTGGTCTGTCCTTGACTTTAAAGCTACAAACTCTTACTCGTTTGTTACAGAACACAAACGACAAGCCAAATATCTACCCCCAGAAAGTCAACATTTACAGATCTAGCAGATCTTACTGAAGTCTTACTGAAGTGTCTACGGTCACACATTCTTGACTGTATAAAAAATAAATAAAGAAAGATCATCTCTTCTATTAGATAATGGGGAACAAGCCCACACAGGGGGCACAAAACCTATCAATGCACTCTGGCTGTGTGTAGAACTGTGCAGGACGTCTGGCCTGGTTATGACAGCCTCTGTGTCCTACATTTATGTTGTGCGTTTGTTTTGTTAGAGGATTACATTTCATGATGAAACTCTGTCAGGTGTGAGATCATCCTCCTGGGTTTGTATCTCTCCTCCAGCTTATTGCAGTTTTAAACCAGTCTGGGTTCCTCTGGGAGTTCTTTGTAAAGGAAGCAGGCCACGTTGAGTGATGCTGCAACACAAAAATAGCCTAATTCCTTCGTTCGTGGTGGGGGTGATAGGGAGTTAAGCTTACAGAGGAAGTTGGCTGCCTGGCTGGCTACTATTGCTGGACCAACAAATGTTTCCTTTCAGGTTAGGAAACTTCTCTGATAAACTTGTTTCTCCTCATTGGAAGTATCATTTCATATTTTAGATGCCTCACCTTTGGATGTCTTAAAGAACTGAATGTTTTCTAGGGATTTCTAGCAAAACTTGTTATAGTAAACTAGTTAAAACATGTTATACTTCCTATTCAATTCAGCTGTTTGTATTATCAGTCCTTCTACAATCTCCACCCTGAGATTTAACTTGAATATTGAACACATTTGAGGCCCTTAAATCTCTGTATTATTTGTGTCCATGATTCTGTTTGTCTGTTCTCCAGGTGGTGGACTTCCTGATGTCCCTGCTTCAGAGGGCCTGTGTGGGTCTGGATCAGGCCCCTGGTCCAAATCTTGGAAACCCCGTAGAGAGCGAGACGCTGCGCATGGGGATGGGCGTTGTGGCTACTCTGCTGTCTGGACCCGAGGTACTTCACACATCAACATGTGACTTATTAAACTACATCTACCTAGTACATATTCCTATGATGTATGTACTAGGTATTCTATGCAGTATAGAACACTGAGAACTGTTTTTAAAGCTGGTGTTGACTTGTTACAATACATTTATATACAGTGCCTTGTAAGACTTAGCAAGCAACAGCAACATGGCAGAAGTAATTTACTTCATAAAAGTCACTACCATTCATTTACAATTGATATACAATATAATACAACATAGTATAACCCAGTATAATTATAATATACGTATATACATATTAATATAATTAAACCGTGCACTGTGGCTGTAAGTCCACTCCCTAGTAATCAATTCCTCTCCTTCCTCACCCTGGAGTAAACACGAGCTGTTGGGTCTGTAGTCCCTGCAGCAGACACATCGTAGGAGCAGTCCTAGGACTGGTGCATGATGTCGCATCATAAGGAAGTGCTTCTGTCGTCTACACACACCCGTCCGTCCGTGTATGATGGTGGGGTCACTTAATTATCCTTGGCGCTTTTATTTCAGACTGCAGTCAAGAGCTCCACTACTCCTGAGCTTCAGAATGCTCAGGGGTACGTAGGTCGTGTACACGCTAGCGCACTACTTGAGCTACTGAAAAGCTATTTGATTGAGAAAACAGTGATGCTACCTTCACATCACTGAGAACTGTAGTTCAACTAGTAACACAGCTGCTGCACAAATCTGCTTTTACTTTACTGCAGCAAGATGAGGATCCAAGCCACTGGAGGTCAAAACACGAGTTCAATTTATACTCAAAGATTCAAGGATCATTAATCATACTTCATCACAAGGTTGCACAGTGAAATGCAGTTGTAGCTTAGTCCATTTATGCTCTACAGAAAACCCAGTAGTGCATTCCGGTGATTTGCGTCATGTAAACAGCAGCAACAGTAACATACATGTTATCTTAACATAAACATGTCGACATCAGGAAAATGTTGTCCATCAACTCATGTTTGAGCACCAAGCCTCTTTGATGTAATGATGTTCTGCTCTTTATCCGCTTCCTTCTCTGATGGTGATGAGTGTTTCTCTGTCATTTGCCATAAGTGCTCCAGTAACAAAGACAACAAATACAAATGAGTAGCAAAGGGGAGCTACCATTAATGGCGTCCAGCGGTCCCAGTGGTCCCAGCAGACTTGCTGAGGTCACTAGGGTTTCAAAATTGCAGGAATGTTTAATGTGGAAACTTTCCATGGGACATAACGGGAGTATAATGGAAACATAAGGGGTATCTGATTGGGCTGTATTTTCCATGTCATGTTCTTATAGAAACTAATGTTATCCATCTCATAATCCATTCATTTGTCAGATACATAGTGTGAACTGTGCCATGTGGTGAGTTGGCTAGCGAGCAAGTTAACTATTTAAGGTGCTTTGAACCAACAGTGTGTGCTGTGTGCAAACGTAGGGAAATTTGCCATAACTTTCCAGACCCTTTGCATCCTATTACTCACCAAAGCACATTGTATTTCTGTGTTGAATGCATTTCATCCCTCATGAAACTGTACAGAGCTGACTTTGTAGCCATGTACCACAGGGAGGAGATGGAGAAACTATTTTTATGCTACACTTCTTCACCAGGAGTAATCAAGTATTAGTCTATGTTCATAATATTAGTTAACCAAACTAGCCATACTAAGTGTGTCATGTCATCAACCATTAAGCTTGGATCCACTCTATTTGGTAATGTGATGAGAGTTCTGTAGGTAGATAGCTGCAACCTGAAGAGTACTGGACAAGTTGTTAGTAGCATCCAATGTAGTCAGTAGCTGCGGTGGCTAAATTGTGCTCTGCTGCTTCATTCCAAACACAGAACACCAACGTCTCAGGTGGCACAGTGATAACTGCTGGCTGTCTGAACGCATTCAAGGATCATTTATTGTCATCAACACAGGGATGTAGAATGAACGTAAACAGCAGCAACAGAAACAATTCTCTGATCAGATAACATGGCCGCCGACATGCTCCTGGCATCGGAGAGCCAGGAGCATGCTGGGTAGAGGAGTAGCCTCGGGTCCTGCTGGGTTAGCTTAGCTTCCATCTCGGTTCTCCTCCCTCTCCTCTCTGGGGCAGTTTGGTGGTGTTTGGTCCGACAGGTCTGGCTGGTTGGTCGTCTCAAATTCCACTGAATTTAATTCACTACCCATGCTTCCTTTTCAGATCATAGGCCACTAGTGATAAACACGAAACAACTAGACAAATAAGGACAGAAATGTAGTGAAATATATTGGAGCTACCGGCCGCATCATGTACATGCGCCACCGTTGCCATAGCATCTTAAGTGTCAAATATACGTTCTTCAAGGCTTCCTAAGCACACCCTGCTCTCTCCCAAACAACCTTTCCCCTTGTTATATTACAGCTTAGTATAGAGGACTACTCGTCTATGTCGAGACTGCTCCCACCGCTGGAGTCGCTGTCTCACAAGCACTCTGAGGCAGTCATCCAGGAGCTGGCATCTGACCTCAGAGCTGTCATTGCCACTCACGGTGCCTACCGGCCTGAAAACGGCACCGCTGTCGCTCCGCTCTCCAGAAACCCTAAAACAACAGTCAAGAATAACAGTGTCCCTTCGAGGAAAACCGAAGCTAATGACTCACAGACTAGTCCTCAATCATCCCTACCACACAGTAATTCACCTAGCAACACCCACAGGTCTGCAGCGGGAGTAAGCCCAAAAGGTGGAGGTAGGACCTCTGGAACCAGTAACCTTTACCTTCCTACCAAGCCCTTGTCTGATTGGCTGCTCGAGACCTGTGACCCAGATGTTCCAACCAGAGCGTTCGCTCTGAGGGTCCTGACCCAGATGGTGCAAAACGAAATCCCAGAGGCTGTCCAGGCCCAGGAACAAGTCCTCATGGTGGGTTGCTTGGTTAAGTACTTCACTTTTTTTTTTTTTTATTCTTGTCTTAGAATTTTGTCTGTTATGCTCTGAAAATATCGTTACAAGTTGTATTGTTATTATTCTGAGAAGTTGTCTTTTTACAAAGATGGTAAAGTAAAATACATGTCATGGGGTAGTTTACCCAAATATGACATTCAGATGATATATTGATATATGTGTAATGATATATATATATATATGTATATGTATGTATATGTATATATATGTATGTATATATACAGTTGTGTGAAAAAGTGTTTGCCCCCTTCCTGATTTCTTATTTT